ATTCGTTTCTTCTCCAACCTTCAATCTTTCCGACTTGCCACTGTCGCTCCGGCGAACCGTCGCAATGTCGTAGCTCAGCAAAACATGGAGGCTGGTACTGCGCTCAAAACTCTCAACGATGTTGTCGAAGGCATGGTAAAGTCGGGCGATAGCGCGCTGGCATCTGCCAATGGCGATATTGGCGACTTGGTGGAGCGCGAAATGCAGGGAGCTGCTGCAGCCATCGAAGCAGCGACGAAGAGGCTGCAAGCCTTGATGAGTCGTCCGCGCGACACCGGCAAATTCAGTGCCGTCGACCTGCAAGTCCATGATGCCATTCTCGAGGCCTCTCTGGCCATCACGCGAGCCATCGGTGGGCTCATCAAAGCCGCTACGGACAGTCAGCAGGAAATCGTCGCTCAGGGACGTGGCTCGAGCACTAACCAGCAGTTCTACAAGAAGAACAACAGATGGACAGAGGGTCTCATTAGCGCTGCAAGGGCTGTGGCTTTCGCCACCACGATGCTCATTGAAGCTGCTGATGGCGTCATTGTGGGCAGCCACAGCTTGGAGCAGCTCATAGTTGCGTCGAACGAGGTGTCGGCGGCCACCGCACAGCTCGTCGCTGCTTCTCGCGTCAAGGCCGAATTTATGAGCCGCACGCAAGACCGTCTCGAGACGGCAGCAAAGGCGGTCACTGACGCTTGCAAAGGTGAGTCTTGCAGTCTCCTTTGAGCCTACTATCAGCCATCCCGGTTAGCTGACACAGCTTCCTTGACTGCAGCGCTTGTCCGACAAGTCAAGGCGATCACCGAGCGCAAGAATGAGGAACATGACGTCGACTATTCGCGCATGGCCACGCACGAGTTCAAGACCAAGGTGAGTACATGCGATCGTGCGCTGATGTCAAACATGCACCCTGGACGAGCGACTCACCACGCGCGCGCCTCACTTCGTACCTGCAGGAGATGGAAGCGCAAGTCGAGGTGCTCAAGTTAGAGCAAAGTCTCACTCAAGCTCGCAGGACTTTGGCCAATATGCGCAAGGCGGGATATCACGCGTTCGAGGAGGACTGAAAGCTCAGCTAACATTTCGTGTATTCAGTCGTACTTTGCGGTCCTTGCATCGAATGGATGACTCTCTCACTGCCATGTGCGGGCACATTCACTGCACAGACGATCCAGCGAGCGCATACGGTGGGGGGAAACTAGGAAAGGTGAGGAGCGTCGAATTCCGCAGTGTGGTATCGTGGCGTGCAATATAAGGGAGATGGATTGAAGGGAGAGTATTTTGACGTGGCCGAAGAACCACGGCAGGAGAAGGCAGAATAAGGCAGGATTGAAGAATCATCCAACATGATTTCCATCCCACCCTTGTCTCGGGCATGGGCTTCGCGAAGTTTAGATCGTGTGGCATCCGTCAGCGGAAGCAGTCGCACCCCTCCTGGATCTCTTCGCAAAATCGGCCGGCACCAAAACCTTGACGTTCGCTTCTGTGGAAAACGTCGACGAAGCCTGAGCGATGGATTGGGCAGAGAGAGTAGAACGGGTATCATGAGAGTAGCGTGGACTGACGATGCACGAATGCAAGTCGTTCACCGCGGAGTGGGCATCGCTTTCGCTTGCCATCACTTCTAGCTCATCTTCCGCCTGCGTCCACGAATTCTCGCCCGCGAAGAGTGCGTGACTAGACGTCCACGCTGAGGCGGGTTCGTGCAGACGCCAATCATAGCCGGCCGCTTCGCCGGCCACTCCTGTCATAGACTGAAGCATGGTGGAGCGACGACTGCGAGATGAGGAATCCTGAGTGCCAGACCTAGGGAAGAGGCGCGACAGCGAGTTGCGTATCGTGTTCGTCATTGGGTTCGTTGGAAGGCTCTGAGAGCGCAAGTGCTCCGTGTATTGCGAACCCATCCCCGAATTCCTTTCACGTTGGGCGGAGGTCTGCTCAGAAAACGGCTCTTCTGAGTTTGTCAGACGCGGAACGCTCTGAGCGCTCCTAGGAGATAGAGGCGGGATGCTGATCGGGGCTTCGTATGATGTGCGCCTTGTGGTTTCATTCGAAGGTGACCTGTGCAGAGTCTGTAAGATAGAGTGCCCTATGAAAGAGGACGCTTTTACTGCTCGGATCGAAGCAGCGTCGATCGCGCCTGCGCCACCTGTAATTTCGGAGGTGCTCCTTTGGTCACCGTCTGAAGCACTCGCATTGGTCCACAGTGCAACAACGGGCTCAAAGACCTGGATGACAATCTCGAGCACCTGTCGTAGGTGGGCTTCAATTGGGTCAGTCACTCGGTCCGCTCTGACTCCAATCACGAAAACTCTCAATCACTTACTATCAAGAACCCAGCAAGCATGAACACCACGGCGAAGCAAGTCATGACAGCTCGCTTCGCTCGTAGGCGGACGGCGCCTGTTAGAGGATCGGTGAGCACCTCGCTGACCTCACAGTAAGCTACGCCGAAAGCTCCCTGTTGAGCAAATTGGGAGACACGTGAGCAGCCTTTTTGAACAGATGTGGAGGCACGAGTAGAGCAGACTCACTGCACAGGCAGTAGCTGCAATAGCTGCAATAGCCGGGCTGAGCACCACCACATTGCGCAGGACTACTCGGTATAAAGCGCTCGGGCTGCTGTTGGTGCCGTGTCGCCCGTGCAGCTGACAGCGCGATTGGAACAAGCAAGAGGCTAGGGTAACCTTTTCGCTGTTGACGATGCAGCGGCAGGCTTCTGGCGGACCATCAAAGCTCACAACATCGCTGTGCTCCGTAACCTCGCGATCGGCCTCTTGGCGCAGCCGATGCAAGATGCTTTGAACAAATGCGAGGACGCAGATGAAGTAGAAGCTTACGTTACACGTTGCAAGAAGGAGCGATCATTAGCCGTCAAGTCTCAAGGTTGCCGACTCGCTGAAGAGCACACAGGACTCACACGAGAAGGAAAAGAGCCCATGCCGACCAGATCGAGTAGGTTACAGAAGACCAAAAGAAGCCATGGGCAATATTTGCCCAAATCTCTCTCACAGCTTCCATGTGCAAGGACTGGACAACGTCTGTGCTGGGCTGCGCTACCATTTCAGCCAAAAGAGCTTCGGAGAGATTGAAGCCTTCGTGCAAGTGAAATCGAGCCCGAGAGGAAGTGTACCCAACGATGATGATGACTGGCAAGGGACCGGAGTAGCAGCAGACATTAGTCCAAAATCCTCGTTGGTAACTTTTGCTGCCTCGAATGCTCAGCAGAACGTTGGGCGCGCCATACAGGGTGCCCCAGGCCCAGAACCACCCGCAAAAAGATATGGGTATCCACATCATCGCTGCGAGAGGCATGTGCATGTAGAGTGGCGAGTTCGTTTGATGAAGCTTCTTGAGGGTCAGCGAAAAGTAGATCCACGTCAGAGAAAACGCCCCGGCGGAGAGGCTCAGCGTATTGATGGGGTGTGGTATCTAAGCAAATCAGTTGAGAGGCGTGTGAGGGTTCCTATGATTCATGAGAAGCGATTTCGACGCCACAAAGGTGAGAGCTACGCACAATGTAAGTGCCTTGCCTTCTGAGCAGCCAAAACTTGCCATGCCTCAGGCGGTGGGCAATAGCGGATAGGGCTACGGAGCATGCACCAGAGCTGTGAGATGACGCTCCGCGACCTGTACATTTCTTGCCACTCACCGACCAGGGTGTATGCACCGAGTACCACGGCGGATGCTGTGAGAAGGTCATAATACCATTGAGGCTGGCCTCCGAGCCTCGTCACATCTCTGACAAAGTTTTTCAGCTCTCCCGTCGGCTCTGCTGAGTCGAAGAGCGGAAGAATGACGCTCTGTCTGGCTTCGTTGACACTGCGAAGCCGATGCAGCAGGCCGAGTCCTGTCAAGGACTCATGTGCGTTCGACATGTTGGACATTTGAGGGAGTGGATGTGGTGATGTTCAGTTGCAAGGATGGCAAAGCTCAAGTCAGGAAATGCAAGGTATGAGGGGACACAACCCTAGCAGTTCGCGAACAGAGCAGCCTACCGTTCCGCACAGCCCCAGTCAAGACGCTTTCCGAAAATGACTTTTCACTGAAGATGTACTCTCTCTGCCTAGTACTTCGATGGCCGCGAGCGTCTGCGATGGAGCAGCGTTTGCGAGAACCGTACTCCTTCATGATGATTCTCAGTCAGCTTTGCGCATCTTCCGCTTTACCCTGCGAAGGACTTGCCAAGGGCGTATCCCACGAGGCAACCAGCAGCTGGAGCGCGCACGAGGCGACGGCTCTTTAGCGCGTAGGGAAATTTTCTCTCTCTGAAAGAGACCAGTCGAAAGAGGTTCTTGATGCACGGAGTCATGGGCTCGAGATCTCAAATGAGGTAGAGCCAGATAGCTCTTCCTTCGTTCGTCATTGGCTCAGCCGAGCGTGCGCATATGGACACCCTCATCACCCGCCCAGGTCGCATGTCGCACGTACGCTCAATCGGCATGCTCGTGCGCAAGCCTTTCCTTTTTGATGTTGCTGTATGCACTCCTCCAATCCCCTCCTCGAGTGAAGCCCAGTAGCGTTTTCGACTCGACTCCTGGACCCCATCATCGAAGACGCGCACGTACCCGCAGCCTTGACTATAGGTAGCGATATTGTGAGATGATGAGTCGAGAGGTGAGTCGCTCTTCGCATCCGCTGCTAGACGCGCGTCTTTTGGTGCAAATTACCAGCAGCATGCAGGGGCGCGAACGCACCCCCGCCTACGTGCGCAAAGACCCCTTTCCTTTGGACCCGATCCTGCACCGAGCGGTGCCTGCACACGAGTCGCAGTCATGGCGTGCTCCTCCCGCAAGCACCTCATCTCGACGCTCGTCAGCCGAGCCTTTTCGCTTTACGAGATTCTGAAGCCGAGTCAAGCAGCAGGCGCCTCTGTGATTCTATTGTGCACCATCACGGGAGGCGTCCGCAATATAGAGCACACGCGAGCGAGCTTGCATCAGACACGAATTCATTTTTGCACTCGCAACCTCGAAGATGAAGAGAGGCGTGAAACCGGATACAGGGGGGAAGAGGGACATAATTCTATTGTTACAAATGGAGTGGAGAAGGGCTGAAAGAATACGATGGGCCGATGGGGAGGGAGACTGATCAGAGTCGGGCGGGAGAAGCGGTGGGTGGGAGTGAGACAGAGAGGGAAACGGGTATTCGATGGTCGCAAACAGACCGAGAGCTCTGCATGGCGGCGTACAAGACCGATAAGTCGACTGCAAACGATCTGCGTTGCTGAAGTGAAAGGGTGACGGGAGATGAGGGGTAGGATGACCGTAAAGATTTTGTTTTGAAGAGGCAGCGGATGGGAGGAGTGATTCGACAGTCGCATTCCAATCGCTCGAGGACTTCTTGGCCCGCAATGGTGCAGAGTCGGGAGCTCAGGACACGATTGCCCAAGGCTGCAATTGAGGCTGATGCTCTGTGTCCCACCAATCTTCTTCGCTCTTACGCTTTTGTGATGCTCGCCGACCAGCCTCATCGTTTGAGCCACCAGCAGCGCCAGTGATCGAGTTGATGAGATCTTCGGGACTTGGCTCGCTGTCGTCGCTGCTATCCATGCCACTAGGGCTGCTCGAAATGCGCACCACGCCATCCAAAGCGTTGATCGTGTTGCTCAGATTGCTAGAGCCCTTTGCCATGATCATCGAGCTGGAATTCGATGAAGAGCCAGAGGGCAATTTAGAACTGGGCACAAGGTCTGGCGTTTGCGCTGGAGGCTCTTCGCGAGTCACGTGCGGCGCGCCTCCACCGAGAAACGCAGACAACTCAGCCTGCGGCTCGTCCAAATAAGATTCGTCGATCCAGTCGAACATGTCGACTTCGATGTTGGCCTCTGGCTGAGGCGGTGCCTCGGAAGCTGCTGATGCAGCGTTCGCATTTGCATCCGTCGCGGGCAGGGCAGTATCAACGAACGCACCGCCAGGCCCAGGCTCCTGACCAAGCATAGCTAGCAGACCCTCTAGACTCTGGGCATCTGCGAGAGGTACGGATGTACCAGCCCCGCTACCGTTGGGCGCTACAAGATCCTGCCAAGCGGCATCGACGAAGGCTGCTGGATCTTGCTGGGCGAGCATGTCATCTCGCTCGCGCTGCGTCAAAGGCTTGGAAAGAGGTGGCTGGATTGTGCCATCCTCTGGCTTCTGAGACGGTGCAACATTGCCATCTACATCCACGCCGCCCGCTTCACCCTTGCGCTTTGCCTCAGCTTCTGCCATCTCACGCTTGACTTCGGCCATGATGTCAGCGCTAGTCTTGGGCTTCGAGCGAGCAGCGGTGGCAGTAGCCTCGTCGTTCTTTTCCTTCTCGGCCTTGGTCTTACGAGCAGCCTTGCCCTTCGCGGCTGACGCCTTCTTTCCACCCTTGGCGGCGGGTGGAGAAGCAGCGGAAGCTTTCGGCGAATCCACCTTGGATGGACCGGGACTCTCAGCGTTGTTGAGTTGGCCAAGTCGGCCAGCAGCGGGTGACTTGGCCTGAGCCGCAGCTGGTGCATTTTGCTGCGCAGTGGCGGCAGTTGCTTTCCCTCGCTTGACCGGCGGCGGCTTGAGGTCTTCGACACGCAAGCCTCTTTTGATGCCGTGCATGGAAGCCAAGGCTTCGTCCGAATCGGGTGCATCTGGTGCAGCCGGGGCAATGTTTTGAATAGGGGCTGTTGGTGCAGGGGCCAGCGGCGGAGGCTGCGCGTGCTGAGGTTGACCGATCGGCTGCTGACCAAGAGCCGGAGGCATCGTGGAGGGCTGGTTCGGTTGCTGCTGAAGCTGTTGCTGCGCTTGCAACGCTTGCCAATGCGCGCTAGCACGCGATTGCTCTCGCTCAGCTTGCATGCTAGAGAGCAGATGCTCTGCCAGAGCTGGAGCACTCGTCTTGACGAAGCTGATGCAGCGGTGGATTTGAGTCTTCAGCTTCTCGAGATCACCGAGTGAGAGCAAGCATTGGCGTCGTGGCACGAGGTCTAGCTGGTCTTTGAACATGAAAGACATGATCTTTAGTCGTCGAGCAGCATCGATGTTGCGATTGATGGCAAAAAAAGCAGGCAGCAAGGCGTTGACTTGATCGCAAATGTCGCCAAGGGATACGACGTGACTGAAGATGGATTCTTTCTCCGCCTCAGCAAGTTCCTTCACCTCCAAGCGTGCTGATGTGGACGAGCCTTGCGGCGGACGTCAGCTGTTTGCACTCCAGACGACATCCACGAGCCAGTGTACTCACGTCTCGATCTGCTGAGTTCTTGATCCATCCTCATCATCACCTCCTTCGCTTTGCTCAAGTCTGCTTCTGAAACTCGCAGCTCCCGAACCTCATGAGGACCACCCTGGCCTGGCTGCGGTCCGCTGCCAGGCGCATTTGCGATCCAGACCATGCCAGAGTTACCATCTTGCTTGGCCGTGTGCAGCGGAGGTTGTCCCTGCGGTTGGTACTGGCCATGCTGCTGAGACGCATCCCCAAATCCTGGAGGCCTGGCCTGCATGTGAGGTGGCATCTGCGAGGCGTTCTGCGCCTGCGGCACAGGCGCGCCTGGAGGCTTCATGGCAGCAGCGGAAGCAGCAAGAGCCCCTGACGCGTTCTGCTGTTGCCGTTGCTGTTGCATCTGCAAAAAGCGCTCGCGGAGCTGCTGTCCCTGTCCTGAACGCATCATCGCGGTGAATTGATCTTGAGTCAGACCAATCTGTGCGAGCTGCGCCGGAGTGAGCTGCTGAGGGATCTCGGATGCGGCTGCGCTGGGAGGACGTTGTGGAGTGCCAGCCTGTTGCTGTGTTGGTGCTTGAGGCGGTTGCTGTGGGACTTGCGGGGCTTGCGCATGACTGGGCCCGCCCTGGTTCATCGAAGCATTCTGCGCCGCCATATGTCTGAGAGCTTGTTGAGCCGTCTGCTGCGCTTGCGACTGAGCATGAGCGACAGCTTGAGCGTTGGCTTGCATTTGCAGAGCTGCAGGCTGCGCGTGAGGCCCGCTCTGTGCCTGGAGCTGTTGCAGCAGCCTTTGCTGAATCGAGCTCACCGTCGCGTTGAGCCACATGTTTTCGATGGGCAGCAACGAATTACGGTACCAGACTGCGACGTGTTCATGGACTTGAAGAGGAAGATCCAACGCCGTGGCAATTTCGCTCCACGCATTCTTGGAAGAGACGCTCTTGCTTCCACCGTGAGCTTGCACGAGCATGTAAAATCGGTACATGTCAAGTGCGCGATTGCCAATCTTCACCTGGGCATTCTGAGGAGAGCCCTGCTTCGCGTGAATCTCGAGAAGCGCGCGCATGAAGTTCTCAGGCTTCATGACCATTCCTCCTGGCGCAGAAGAGGTTTGCTGATTCCCCGGTGCTTGGTTGTGGGCCACTGGCTGAGGTCGAATCGAAGAATCTCCGCCCACGCCCGGCTGGTTTTGTTGACCCTGGGCTCCGGGTTGCGGTGGATGTCTAGGTACTGCGATGGTGGACTGCCCCGGCTGTTGCTGTTGTTGCTGCTGACGGTGTATCTGTTCTTGACGAAGCGACAAGACCTTCTGCAGGAGAGCCTTGGAGTCGTTCATCTGCTTCTCGAAGTGCTCTCGAGCTTGGGGAGTGTCTGCGGCGGCCAGCTTCGGTTCCAAGTCCCGAATACGGTTCTGCGCAACAGACAGCAGCCGCATCAGATCGTTGCTCTCAGCATCCGTTGGAGCCTGGGGTGGATGAATGGCTGCATTCTGACCGATGGCACCGCCTGGCGGCCTCAGAACATGTGTCTGGTTTCCAATCGGCCCCTGGAGATGCTGCAAGCCACTCTGCTGCGCGGGCGACGAATGTGACATGGTGGGAGTTCCCATTTGCGGTTGAGGTTGCGCGTGGTTCATGTGGGGCGTATGGTGCTGTGAACCTGGCATGGGCATCTGAGGTTGCGCTTGTTGAGGCTGCGTAGCCGGAGGCGGTCTTGGTTGAGGAGGCACCTGGCCGTGCGATACAAACGGTGCAGATTGTTGGCCTAATCCCTGTTGCGTTGACCGCTGCTGCTGGCCCTGCTGCCATGAACTGATTGCACTTCTCAGCTTTTGCAAAGTCGTGGGATCTAATTGACCGTTTTTGGCACGTGCGATGGCATGTTGCAGAGCTGGGGGCATACCAGCGAGGCCCATCTGGGGACGCACGGCGCCCATTCCCGGAGCGTTGGCACCGGCGACGGAAGCATTTGTTGCATTCGCGTTCGAAGCTGCCTGCTGACGGTTCATCGCTGCCGCTTGAGCGGCGCTTGCCGCCGCCTGTGCGCCGGACACGAGACCACCTGGTGGTTGATGTGGTTGCTGAGCCGGGAAGGGCGGCCGTGAAGGAGCCACATGCTGCATCGCTGGAGAAGACTGCATGGGCGAACCATGGGCCTGATTCGGCTGTTGAAACTGCTGCTGCGAGGGATGAGGCTGCATTCCTGCAGGAAGCCCAACACCAGATCCGTTGCCTTGCGCATGGTTCTGGTGAGCTTGCATCTGCGCGAACCAAGCGGGCATACCGGAGTTGTTAGGCTGACCATTGTTCATCTGAGAATGAGCCATTTGGTGGTGCTGTTGCGGCTGCTGCTGCTGCTGCTGCTGTTGCTGTTGCTGGCTTTGCTGCATATTTGCGTGGATGCCTTGCTGGTTCTGCTGTTGCTGAGGTGGGGGGTGCTGCTGGCCTTGGGAAGCAGCCGAGAGTCCCTGCGTGAGCAGCTGCCTGATTTGCTGCTGAGTGAGCCCCTGGAGCTGCGGTGGAATCTGACCGGATTGCAAGGCAGCAGCTACTGCAGCGGCCATGTTATTTTGAGCCATGCCGAATTGTTGCTGAGCGGGCTGGTGTTGAGGCGGCTGCTGCTGCTGTTGCTGCTGTTGCGCCTGAGCGAACGGTGACTGAGCGAACGACATCGATGTCTGTGGTCGCTGCTGCTGCTGCTGCTGTTGTTGTTGTTGTTGTTGTTGTTGTTGTTGCTGCTGCTGCTGCAGTTGTTGCTGGAATGCGAGTATCGCCGCAGCGTTCGCATTGTTGGAGTTGAAAGCCATGGTGACTCACCGCGACGTCGACCACGCACCGACAGACCCCGAGACAAAGCGAGCTCGTTGTATGCCCGCTCAAGAGCTTGCACTGACGGGATCGCTCGCAACTGCTCTCAGAGACAAGTCTTGACGTAGTAGACAGCCTACGAAAAGGCTCTGACAGAGTGGCTGTCCTAGTAGAGCATCAGGAGACCGTACGAGCTGAGATTGAGACGCGGAGCAAACCTGATGCTCGATACGTGCAAGGAGCAAGAAGAAGAATTTGAGAGAGGCGGTACGGGAGCGGTCACCTCTGACTATCGAAAGTGGAAGAGCGCGGTGCTCAGGCCGCCTCGCAAGAGCGCTGGGTTGCTTCGGTGTGATGATCACCGTGCGACACGTCCACGTCTGGTGCTGAACGTTGGATGCTGGCGAATCACGTTGGGGTCTGAGTCTACGAGAGGCCAGCTGGAGTAGCAGAGCTGGAGAGATGTGCGGGACTTTGTTCTGAGCACCCTCGTGGCAACGACGATGGCAGATGGAAGAGATTGAAGAGCGCCCGGTCTGTATCAGAAAGAGGTGAGAGCCACAGGATAGGGATATGAAGGTTGAATTCGATCGTTGATCGATCAGGGCGAGGCGCCAGCGCCGTTTCGCAGTTTCGCAGCACCACGCATCTCGACGCGCCCACGGCACCCGCGCGATGTACGATGTCTCTCTCGATCTTGGGATCAGCTGCCTCATGTCTCAGGCAGGCGCAGCACACGCGCGCACGGGATCAAACCGCGCACGCGCGATGAGGCCGCGAATGCCTACACGCATATACAGTAGTAGTAGTAGTAGTAGTAGTAGTAGTAGTAGTTGTTGTATACAGTATATAAATTATGTTGAGGCGCGGCCGCTGCTCCTGGGCGCGCGCGGCTGATGCTGCATGCTTCCTTAATTGCCTGCCGCAACATGCCCGCTCATTCAACCGTCGCGCCCGCGACCCGCGAGGGCACGACAGCCCTCTACCTTGCGCTGGCCGCAGCGCACTACCTCATCATTTTGGTCAGATGCGGTTGCGGGTCGAGGCTTCAAAAGGCCTGCCCTGCGTATCTTTCAGTGTGAGTTCATCAGCAGCCGTACCCAACACCTCTCTTTCGTAGCTTTGCATGAATGAAAATCAGGATCTGTGAATGACAATCAGAATCTCCCAACCGCAAGACCGCGTAGAGAGATCCTCAAATTGTGGACGAGTCCGCTGACTGGTCGGGATGCATATGCTTGCAATTTTCCAAAGGAGAAGCAAAGATCTGCTCTTTGATGGATGAGATGATATTTGCGGCGAGCGGGAAGCGGGTGGATCGTGTTTTGTCTGAATGCTCCTGCATCCACGTCCTCGCTCACAGGGTAAGGTTTGGGCGAATGTGGTGTTCGACTATCGTGACTGGATCCACTGGACTTTACATGTATGAATCGCAAGTCCTGAGAGCACTTCAGTGATTGAGTAGCGCAGACCGACGACCTCGCGACAGGGACATATGCGACACTTCTTCACGAGTTCAGCATCAGTTCCTGATGGGTGATGACCCATGAAACTTGAATCACAAATGTCGAGACAGAAGCGCGACACCTCAATAAAGCCTCCCATCATGATGACTGGTCAAGAGGCTGACATGGCGACTCAGACCATGCTTTGGAAGTGCGAGTTTGAGTCCGGATCGAGAAGCACGCAGCTAGGTGCTGTAGACGAGCCGGCCGGGTCGCTTGCATTTGTCGCCTGAGCCACAATTTGTGTAGCCGGGTGATTCGGCTCCCAATTCTTGCTCGAGACCGCGCGCCGCCGAATTCATGTTGTGGAATCGTGAATCAAACAGGATGTGGGGGAGCTGTCCAAAGCATGACTGCTGCTGCGACGTCGGAGGTGTCAAACAAGATCGAGAGAGGCAAGTTGCTGCAAGTTGCTGCACTCGCGGGCTTATGATCTTAGACATGCGTGTGCCCTGCAGCACGCGTACGTACACAAACACGTGGGCGTGGGTAGGGCCTTGCATGCGTGGACAAGCTAGGTCGTGTGCGTGCAGGCCGCGTGAACCTTTACTCAAATGTTGTGCCATGCATCAAGAACAAAAGCGTGATTTGAGCTTAGGAGACCCTCGATTCGGAACCCTCAAGAAGCAAGCTTCTCTAATCACGAATGAGATATGAAGGGTGGTGTTGATGATAAGAATCTGGCTCCTGGTTGACGAACGTCAGGAGGGCATGCGCAGACGCCTGACGGGAATCAGCGTTGCAAAGCCTGTGCTGCAGCAATGATCGAGGGCCAGCTGAGCGCCGCAACGAGCGCGTCTAGCAGGCTACGACCGTGATCGTCGAGGCCCCAACAACAAGCCTTTTGGAAGCTTCAAAATGCGGTCCCAAATGTTTTGCGTGTGCTGGAATCACAACTCTGTCATAGCCCAATGATAGGCAGGAGTGCGGATGAGAGAGCCTTGACTAGTGCTAACGCGTCTCAATTTGGACCGCGACTCACACCCTCGGGTGGAAAGGTCGATCCCTCTACTTCAATCGCCTTGACGAAGGCATGCTTGGCATTTTTTGATGACGAAGGAGGGCGCATATGGACGCTCCCCTTGGTAACAGCCAGCAGAGTGAAGATGCTTGCGTGCTTGGCGAGCATCCAGTCACGAACTCGAGAGACAAATTTGGATAGTGAATGATCACGAGGTGAGTGACAAGTATATGAAGGTTCGGATGCAGACCAGCGATCACGACTAGCTTTTACGCCCACAAACGGCCCTTCTCCTCATCTTCAGCAGGAATTCAACGGCCCCCACCCGCTCGCTCAGTCAGGGTCGTTGCACAAGCCGCAACGCATGCAGAGAAATGCCTCGCGGGTAAATGCCGCAGGGATGGATCTTTTCGCGCGTGCATTCGCGGGAGAGGCGCGGTCAGCTGGCGTGCGCGGGTGCAAGCATGCGTGGGTAGAAAAGCCGTGTGACGGCGGTGTGGGAATCTGACATCGCCCATGCAGCAGGTGCATAAATCTGAATACAATCAAGAATGATCAAGAATATATATGTGCTCTCGCAGCGTGGGGTCCTATGGCTGGATGATTCGTCTTCTCACGGCTCTTTGCATAAATACGATGATGGTTTATTCAAATGATTATTAGGCCAGCGCCGATCGAGGGACGTTTCAGAAGTCAGAACGTGGCAACCTTGCCCTGCCTGCTGTCAACATTCGCGTGACTCAGATTGGCCTAGTAGAGTCAGGCAGCAATCCATGCAGTCAAGAGTAGTGCTCGAGTTGATGATCGCTGTTGACTAATCAAACAGAGTCGGTCGTACGCAAAGAGAGGCGGCAGGCGGGGCGCTCTCTCTCGACTCGACCAGCTATGCGTGCACTATTGGAAGCTAGGAGAGTTCCACGTCGTGCATGGTGCGTGCAGGACACGGTCCATCGAACTGCTCGAAATGGTGCTCGATTAAGGTGTGCGGCTTGCTTGCTCGACCGCCTGCTTCTGAATCACCAACATTTAGCTGTCATTTCGAGCCCAAATACATCATCCCTGCTAGACTTATGACGCTCTCCTAGGCTGCATCCTCCCAGCGATGCCAGAGCGAATGCATGCTCGAGGCAAGTGTTTAGCACCGCGCGCCTCGTTCGCGCTTTGACTCCTGCGTCACGGAACGGAGGAGTGACGATCAGCTGGATGGGTGGACAGCGTGACAGTCAAGTGGTCGACGATCACGAATCGTGCCGGATACAGATTACTGGAATCTCTATGTGCTACCAAAACTAGCCTTTGGCCCCTCATATCGAAGGTGTCTGAACACCTTGACTGCATATGCAACTCATCAATCCAGTTCGCACTTCATTTCGTGTCCAGCTCATTGGGCGCAAAAATGATACAGCTATACAACGGATCGACTCAAAGGCTCTCGCTGCTGAGAGCATTTGCAAGCAAGTACCTCCTCTAGCTATACTTCACGCGAAATAAGTCCCTCGAAGCCAGGCGCTGGACCGAAGTAAAATGGCCCCCATGTCCTGGGGGTCACGGCGCAGCCCCTCCATGCCAATCTGTCTGAGTAAAGCTACCGCGGTCTGGCCCGTCGCGCATACGTACTCGTCGGAAATTGGGGCCAGCCACGCCGCCACGGGGGGATGTAAAGGTTTTCGAAAGGCAGTGGCAGGATTTGACATGACAACATATAAGGTGCCACCTCCGCGTGTGGCGATACCCAGTGCAGCCGTTCCATCCATGTGCAACGTCCATCACCCCAAGCATCCACCCATCCTGCCGCAGCAATGAACGTGACGCCGCCGGCATCCCCGCCACCGCCACCGCTACCGATCACTTCGCCACTGTCATTGTATCAGCCTTGTCCAGTGAGTAGAGTCGAGACGATAGGTGATTTTTTTCTCCTCGGCGCAAAGCTGACTCTCCCACCTCGCCTTTTGAGCCTGGCTTGAGAGGCGACGATTGCAGTCAAGCTGCGTGCAACTCTACTTTCCAAGAACCCGATGAGCGCTTTCTCGCTAGCAACACTAGTCTCACTGGCTGCTCGACCTGTGCAGATGGCTTTCGTGGTATCAATGTGAGCACTCGCGCTCGTAGCGCCAAGTAAGAGTAGGCCAGGGCAATACTGAGCTTCTACTCCCGCCCTCCCGACAGTGCAACGTATGTTTCGGAGCTCAATCATGCGCTTCTCTGGCCAAAGAGCTGGGAGTAGGTGCGAACAATAGCAGCAACCCTGCTGTAACGTCGACCTCAAGTGCTTTGGGCCAAGGTCTTGCTCTGTCCACCCTCTCGTGTCATGCTCAACCTCGCGTCGTGCCAAGTAGTGTTCACTATGGCGAATGCAGCATCGACAATCCAACATTGAGCTCAGTCTTTCCTGGTGCTCAATTCACCATCGCCATCACGAAAGTAGGCAATGACGGGCCCGGCGACTTTGCTGCTACTGGTCTGGCGCCTTGGGACGCCAAGGCTGCATCCGCCTTGTCGAGTGTATTTTTGGACGGCAAACAGCAATTCTACTGCCAAGCAAGCAGCTGCTCCGCCTCCAACACGACCACTGCGGTATCTCAGCCTGATGCTAAGTTCGGAACGGACAATTGGACGTGCCAAGATCTCGGTGAGCGTGCTTGGAGCTATGGCATTGCTTGTCTACACCAGCTGACTATGCGATTACGGGGGTCTGCAGCTTGCCACTGTATTCCTGGAACGACCTTCTGCAGCAAGCCAGGCCTTCAGCTGGACAAGGTGCGTTGCCTCTTCCACACGCGGCCCCTGGCCCACAAATTCACTCTTCCTGCTCCTACCCTTCACCGCAGCTGATCAACGGACTTGACGGAAACCTTTCGCTACCCTGCGATTATGGTGATCCTGCCAATCCTTCGGCACGGACCACCTGCGCCTTCAAATCCGCCACCATCATGCAATTTCTAGGTGCGAATGGATTGCGACTCAACAACTGCCTGTTCGGAGGTTGCGTTTCGCAAAGCGCACTGCAGACCCTGTGGTCACAGGAAGCCGAAGCTGCCCGACACAGCGTGAAGGGCAGTAGCAAATTATCCGGCAAGGTCGCTGGCGCCATTTCCGCTGTAGCCATCTTGATCGCTCTGGTCATAGCTCTACTGATGTGGGGTCTATTTCTTCGTCGACGGGCCATGGGTCAGCCTCGGCAAGATGCTCCTGGAGCTCTGGGACTGCGTTGGACCAGTATAGAGTACAAAGTCCGATCCAGCTCCGGCCTACGACGCCGCGAGGTTCCACACAAAGATAGCTCCACCATCGAGCTCCAGGACATCGATGAGGATCCTGAAGTGCCGAACGACACCGGCGACACGACGGTTTTGCATCCTATGGGAGGCGAATGCGAGCCTGGAAGCCTGACGGCCTTGATGGGTGCGAGCGGCGCAGGCAAAAGCAGCCTCGTCGAAATTCTAGCTGGCAAAGCGAAGGATGGGCTCTTCAGGGGCAGCATCCACTACACTGTTGCTAGTGGAGCGCTCCTTGGCGAGCCTAATCCCTGCGATCAGCGCACGTTGGCATTCGTCGACCAAGATGACGCCCTTCCTGGCTATTTGACAGTCAGAGGTAAGCATCTGTGGGCGCGGTCGCTCTTGCCGGAGCAAAGCTCACACGAAGACATTCTTCACCCACCGCAGAAGCGCTTGAGGCAGCTTGCCAATTGGCACTGCCCGAGAATCGCACTCGTGAAGAGCGCGCACGTATCATCAATGATGTCCTCACGGTGTTGGGTCTCATCCGCGTCCAGCACAGACTGATTGGAAGCGCACAGAAGCGCGGATTGTGCGTATCCAGTGCACTCGAGGTCTTTGGTACCGCTAACAGAAACTTGCTTCGTGTGATAGATCGGGTGGTGAGCGTCGCCGCGTGTCGATAGGATGTGCGCTTGTGGGTCGACCCCGGCTTTTGATCTTGGATGAGCCCCTATCAGTGCGTGCGAATCGAGCTGGTCAATCATTCGTCGCGCAAGCTGACCCGAACGGATGTCACATGCATTCTACAGGGCCTTGATGCCATGGCAGCAAGCGCAGTGATGGACCTTCTGCGTAACCTTGCGTCGGGCGCTCATGGAACAACGATCTTACTCACTATACACCAGCCATCGTCGGACCTCTTCATGGCACCAGACCACGTCATGGTTCTTGCGCACGGACATGTCGTGTTTGATGGTGTCCCAGAGCAGGCCATTGACTTCTGTTCCAGGGTGAGTGTCGGCGTGCGACAGATTCCACCCACACCTTTGAGCTAAAACATAGCCCCCTTACCGCAGCGAGGCATCAACTTGAAGCCCGGCCAAGGCGTTGCTGAGACCCTTCTACATTTGACAAAGGACGGCCCGGAAAGTGCAAAGCGTAGCCGCGGTTACTCTGTCACCAAGAGTTTGTGAGTCTAATTCCGGCTGTGCTCAATCGAGCATTGCGCATATTTTCTGACAGTCCTTTGGGCCCTCTTTCTGCGCAAGCTTGGAGACTGGTCGTGAAAGTTCCGTGTCAGGAAAGCGCATCATCCACGAAGGCGTGCGGACGCAAGTGCTGACGCAAGTCATGGTGTTGTGTCGCCGACTTTGGCTCCAAACCAAACGCGAGCCGACTGGCGCACTTGCCCACATCCTAGGAGCTGTGATCCTGGGCTTGTTCACTGGTGGAGCTTTCTTCCAGGTCAAGCTGACCATCGGAGGTGAGCCTGCACGAAGTAAGTTTGCCGCATGATCGAGCTCATTGCTTCTCTTCCTCGTGATGTTGCACAGGCTTCCAGAATCGTGTAGGATCGATGGTGAGCGAGCGTCTCAGCCTTTATACTTGTTGTGGTGTTATGCTGACCTTGGCCTGCCTCTGCCGCCAGTTCTTCACTCTGCTCTTGCTAGCCTTCTCTGCCCTTTCGGCCGTTACCGGCATCAATGCGGCAAGGACCTTGATGGAACGCGAGCGCGGCTCGGGGATGTACGGCCCTCTGCCCTGGCTTGTCTCGCACGTTGCATTCGACCTCTTCTTCCTGCGAGTGATTCCTGCCGTCATTTTGACAATTATCATCTATTGGATGGTGAGTGTTGCATTCGCTCTGACTGACTCGACAGGTTTCGCTGAACGTGCGAGCCGAATAACCCCTTTTCCAGGTTGGTCTAGCGCACGATGCCGCACGCTTCTTCGAGTTCATGCTCATCACGATTGTGTTTGCGTGCGACGCCGGCATCACGAATGCCATTCTTGGCGTGCTGTTCCGCAACCTATCGACCGCCATTCTCTGCGCGAGTCTTCTCCTCATCTTCCAGCTCGGCTTTGCTGGCTTTTTGCTCAATGTCAAAACTCTCCCCAAAGTGCTCAGGTGGCTATCTTGGCTCTGTCCGATTCGTTACGCCTTGGAAGCTGTGGGCACTAACGAATTGGAAGGGCTATCAATTGTTGACAACTTGAGCGGCGTAGCTATCAACACCCCGGTCAGCCTGGTGGCGCCCGGGCTCTTTGGATTCACAGACAACGCCTACTACAGGAATCTTCTTGTTCTCGCCCTGGGCTTCTTGCTAGCCCACCTGCTCATTCTAGGTCTTGCCGTGCACTACCTCATGCGAGAACGTCGCTGAAAAGACACCTTCATATCCAAACCCTAGCTGTTCTTCTCGACCTCTGCATGTGTCGATAGTCATGACATTTCCACCGCCTCATCTATTTGAGGGTGCCTTTGAGCGCATTTTGAACGTGTACCAAGACTCGTGGCGGCTCGAAGGCTGCAACTTTCTGTGTCAGTGGCAGCTGGGCAGCGACGAGGTGCGAACTGGTCTGGGAACCTATACGAAGCGTGGCTGATCTTGCGTGTGGTGTCTGACTGCACTATTGAAGGTGGGGCATCTTGACTCGAGAACCGCCCGCGGATTGCAGAGGAGACGCTTGACCGAATAAGGGCCAGCGGAGGCGTAGCGTAGATGATTGGAAGCCAACCGTGAATATATATAGAGAGAGGTGCGACGGCGCACGGTCTGGCGTGGCGCAGAGGCGCGATATAACTGTATGTCCCGGCAGGGCTGCTGATGACGTGGAGGCCCCTCCCTACATACATGTACTTTACCGTACAGTCACAGTCAGAAGAGTCGTGAGTCGCGAGCACGGAAAGATGCATCTTAATTGGGGCTGCTGCTGTACGCTGCTGCTGCATGGCGCCGTGGCTGCTCCACAGTCGCCAGTCGTCGTGATCGCGCCTGCGCAACTAAGCGATTGGGATGCGGCGCATATGCTGCTGCCTGCATGCAAAAGCAGCAGGCACGCGCGAACGCGGCACGCCATGCAACTCGGCCCGCGGGCAGCCCAGCACTCTCATCAAGGCGCTACAGTTGACCGCCGCTCCGATACAATCATATGTGCGCACCTCGGGTCTTGGGAGCCATGGCCAGCCCCGAGTGAGCTGGCCTCATCAGCTGATGGCGACGTCTCCAACAACTCTCTACGCCTTGTATGTCACCAGTGTGAGTCACGAGTGCGAGTACTTGCCTACAGGTCAAAAGTAGAGTACTGGCTATAGGTCTGCTTGGATCTTCTCGGGTCTGCTGGCGCTGCCGCAACTGCCGATCTCGCCTCGCACATCAACTGTTCGCCTCGTTGCCACCACCTCCTGCTCAGCCGAATCACGACCAGCGGACGGCCAACTTTGAGCGAATACACAGGGACTTCAGACACAAGTCTCCGTCGGGGCATCATGGATAGGGGCGATAGCTCAACGCCTGTATCTCCGCTCCCGGAGGCTAGCAGTCATCATCGACCTCGTCTGGCCGACATGTTGACGGGTCCTGCAGGAGCAGATAGGAGGAGCTCGTCTTCGAGCGCCCATGAGACCACAACACTCTCTGCCAATCAGGTGCAACTCTCCATCAGATGTCCCTGTTTTGATCCGTCTGGCGATAGGCCTTGTGTGCTCTCTGTGGGAAAGGAGACCACCATCGCGCAGGTCAAGAAGTTGATAGAGCGTGATTGGGCTGGGAAACCCAAAGCTGAAGGCATGCGCTTCATCATGGCGGGTCGGCTGCTCATGGATGATGAGCTTGTGGCAAGCTTCGAGACTAGCGTGAGTAATGTCACGTACTAGCGCAAGCGCTTCCAGCTTACTTGGACCAGGATCGCGACACACTTTGAGCATCATGACTGACCCACGCTGCCCATGTCTGCAGTCGACCGATGGCTCGGTGCTGCTTCATCTCGTGATCCGCCCAGATGTATGGACAGAACCAAGACCCATGCGTCAGCTGCCCAAGTCCAGGTCGCTATCTCGTGAATCCTCACACCATCGCGTATCTCCGGCTGCCGAGGCGCCCGTCACATCTGGTGCTACAACTCCTGCGCGTCCAAGGTCGCCAGCGCGTTCAAGGTCGCCATTTGCGTCTCGTCCTGCTACATCATTGCCAGCGCGGTCTCCGACATTCGGGATCTATCCCGTGTATGGAGCTTCGCAGGCTGGACCTCGCAACTCTCCCAGTGCCAGCAGTGCGCCTGCTTACCAAGCTAGCCAACGCTTCGCCCAACAGTTGCCAAAACTTTACGAGCTCCTTCGTCGAGCTGGACCGAACGACCAAATGCTGCAGCATTCGTTGACAAGAATGCACGACATGTACGTTGAATACTACGAGCGGCTTTGGCACGCCGTGTACAGCACGACCGAGAGTAGCAGCACTACACAGGGCCGCACTCAAACTCCCACCCATTTGACCTTGGACGCGGACTTTCGTCACTTGGAGGCCGTCGCTTTTGGCTGGGGACCCGTGCCCTCTGTCGACACTTTGCTTATTCTGACGCCATCTTCGCAAAGTAGCACGTTGCATCAGCGCGTGGAGATCGAGTGAGTGTTGAAGACCCGTCAGCTGCTTTGAAAGCCCACCCGTACCACGCCCACGCTGACCTCTCAGTTGCGTCACTGGCACTCCACCCTAGCGGTCTGCCATACTTACTGCGCGTAGAAGAGAATAAGGCGCTTCGAGCCATGAACAAACACTTGAACATGATTCGCGAGAGGATCCAGACGCTTGGATACGCCCTGGATCACATGAACGCGATCCCACAAGCTTCTACAGATGCGAGCGGCCCTAGTGGTGCTCCTTCACAGAACCCACCGAGTAACGATCCGCGCTCTGCTGAGTATATTCGTTGGGCTATCGGTAACTTCACGCCACAAAATCCAGAGGATGCGCGCATTGTGGTCCGATCCATTCAGAGGGGTCTGGCACAGACAGGTGCACGTGGCTTGGGTCTGGACCGCCCGCCTGGCGCTGCGATCAATCAGCGAGTGATCGTCCGACCTGCAGCTTTGATGAGCAGGATCTTAACGGAGCTCGCAGTCATCGCTATACCGCTCGCGTTTCTCATCTTGAAGCTAAGCATTCTGGTTTATGTCCTGACCAGAGGTGCAGGCAAGACCAAGAGATATTGCATCATTGGAGCGGCTGGAGTATTTGTCATCTACGAGGGTCAGCGCATGCTTGGACGCCGACGCCGTGCGCGCGACAGAGCCAATCAAGAGAGAGCACGTAGAGCTCTCGACCAAGTAAGAAGAGGTCGTGGTGCGCAGGCGCAACGACCCGGGACACCTGGTGGCACAGATCGAATGGGCGCGCCGCCGAACTCGACCGCGCAGCCTAGATCTAGTATTCCACCACTTCCAGCGCTCCGCGCGCCTAGGCGCTTCACAGTACAGGCGTCATCTCAACCATCGTACTGGATCGAACGCTTCGCTTATCTGAACTTGGCTCAGGAGGACGCCGAGCTGGGATTAGTGGCACACGATGCACCCACAGATCGACCCACAGGACCACCACCCGCGCGACCCACCGGGCTCTCGCATGCATTCTATGCATACGTGGTCTTGCCCCTCTTACTTTTCGTAGGAACGCTCGTCCCAGAAATCGAGTCTCGACGCCGGGCAGCTATCGATGCTCGGGACAATTTGATCCGTTCCGCGGCGTTACTCGAAGAAGGTCGGAAGCATGCCATCGCAGCCCAGCAAGCCGCGTCTGCAGCAGCAGCCGCTGAGGCCAAGGCGAAAGCATCAGAAGCCGAAGCTTCTGCGAAGCACGCGCAGGCTCCTGAGCGATCCGTCAGCCAGCGTACAGGCGAGGATGTCGGTACATCCTCTGCACACAACCGTGGGAGTGCACCTTCTGAGCAAACCAATGATGAATCTGCAATGCTACGATCAGAGTATTCTGAGCGTGTTCTCAGACAACGTGGGCCTGGTCGCAGGCAGATCAACATTCAAGAAGAGCTGGAAGCTGCTAGGGCTGCTGCGGGCGATGGGGACGAAGAGGATCTTGACGCGGAGGAGGACATGGGCTTCTTCTGAGCTTAGCATGCGCCCATCAGTGCCGAGCTCCTTCGCAACTTTTCTTGGCTTTCAGGATTTCTGTGACTTGGCTTGGCGTCGGTCTTCGTCGACGAGCGTCTCCTTTCCCGCCATCATAATCGACATAAGCTATCTCATATCGTCACGTCCCAACATTCTTTTGTATCTACCACTTCGCAATACAAACACTATACGAGCCTTGTTCTGCAGTAGCTAGCTCCGAAGCGTCTTGCTGATCGTCTGAAGCGTCTAGCCTGCATTCGTGATGGTAATAGTACAACGACTCCTTGCGACACAAACAGTCCCACAGATCAAAGGTCAGACATGGGTGCGTGAAGGGCGGCCTCAAGCTCCTGGGTAAGTGTAGGCGGCGTACAAGCATGAGCATCAGTGCAAGAACGAGGCGCGATCCTGCATACCAAAGCATGCGCAACAACCTCTGAGCAGCTCACCTCTTTCTCCACCTCTCTCTCGAGCTGCTCCACCTTTCTGCTCAGTTCCAGCTTCTTGTTCTGCAAAGCCAGTACGCGCTTCTCCTTGGCTTCCACCTCTGCTATCAAGTGACTTGCCACTCCGCTCGTTCCTTTGCGAAGCTGAGCGGGCGCGTGAAGAGCTGCTAGTTGGGCGTGTCTGGCTGTGACTTGCGCGTGCTATGTGATGCATAAGGCCATTCCATGGAGCGTACCAGCGGGGTCAATTCGCGTGAAGACGAACAGCCATGCGAGGAAGATAGGCTCACCTTGGTTCGCAAAGCTTTCACGATCCTCTCTTCCCTCTGCACAGCCTGCTCGGCCATCGGTATGAGCTCTCGTAGCTGAGGAGCGATCTCGGCGCTCAGATGATTCCTAGCGCTCCTAATGTCCGCTTCTGAAACGAGATCGAAATGTCTCTTGGATGCCAGCACCTTGGACAGCCTGTCGAAATCGGCCGTGGAGGCAGCGAGCATGGATACGCTGGACTCGAGCTGAAAGCGCAAGGCGCGAAGGGATCGCGCAAAAATGGAGGCGTGTCCTGTCAGTGAGCTGCTTGTAGACGTCGACGGTAGAGTAGGGAAGTGGCGAGACATCAGATCAGACTTACTGTCGCGCAACTCAACTCTACGCTCGATACGCAGCTGGCCAAGCTGGATAAAGAGGCGGAGGGAACCGTGTTGACGGATGCTGCAGGGGCCAAGTGCCCAGCTTGAGGGTAGAAAGAGGCGCGCGGGTACGACATTATTGAAGCTGAGCGTGTTGCAGGATTGCGATCGATTGTTTGACCGGTGATGGTGGTTCGTTGCGTGCTGACGATCAAGTATGTATGTAGGATAGAGGAGCACCGCGACACCCTAGCTTCGTGCTTCATATGCGTTCAGCCATGCAGCGCCGTCGCAGTCAGTGAAGTGAGTTCAGGCAGCATACGAACGACCTGCCGCGCGACGCGTCGCTCACGTGCACGACCACTCACGATGAGATGGTAGTCTTGAGTCGCCGCAGGCACGAAGCTTCGTGGTTGCTCACAGCCCCCATGCTACTCTGGATTCCTCAAGATTCAGATCGAGAATTGCGAGGTGCCTATTAGTTATTGAGTTCGCACTGCCTCCGCCATCCATACTTCCTTTCGTAGACTCGCAAGTGAGCCGCGTATCGCTGCGCACGTTGATCCACATCACAAATCGTGCGCGCGGTCCGGCAGCTCACTCAGATGGAGCTCATCACGCGAGCTCCTTGCAAGCCTACCTGCGTCTCTTAGCTCGCCGCTCCACATTGCCGGATCATCGTCATGGCGCCAGTCACCACCGCGCCATCATCAGCGCAGGGATCTGCTCCTCTGCTGTCTCTCGCAGGCTCAGCTGGAATGCAACCAACTGCTCCTCTTCCTTCCCCAACGCCTTCGCCGGGCGTTGGAGCAGCGAGCACAGGAACAGCCACCCCATCCTCTCTCTCTCGTTTGACACTAGGTGATAAGTTGCTGCTGGCTCAAGCAGTGCACCATGTCGGTTCAGTGCCTCCCGATTGGGCTCAAGTGAGCGCTCTGGTGCTCAATCACCCACTCATCAAGACTTCTGCCCGCATAGAGACTGTCTCTAAAGCCGGCTTCACTCTAGGAAGGGTGTTTGGTAGCAGGGAGTGCGAAAGGGCTTGGATCGCGCTCATGCGCATGTATGGTCTCGTTTACCAGCCTGGAGAAACTCAAGCTCAATCCCAGTCGCATAGCATGACTCAAGAGGATGAGGAAGGCAACGCTGTGCAGACTACATCCAAGAATAAGGAAAGCCGTACTGCAGCACCAAAAACGGATAAGGCTAGCCAATTGCAGTTGGCTCAACTGCTGTATGCTGAGCGTCTGCTCGAGCTGAGAAATCAGATTAAAGAAAAGGAGGACAAATTTCGGTATGTAGCTAGTCGTATGCTACTCGACCTCGAGACCTTGCTGAACTAATTTGAGCGGGTGACACTTTTTGCTTGCTTCGGGTAGAGAGCTCGTACAGGAAGTCGAAGCCGTCAAGACGGGTGCTCGCGATGATGCATTACGTGCCGAGCTGGCACTGAAAGAGGCTAGCGACCATGATGCTGGACCAGTCGGTGCTGCGGAAGAGAGCATCTCTCGGGCGCACAGTGACGCTGAAGCTGTTGTAGCGTCGAACGAGGTCAAGACTTCCACAACCAGCACCACAGCTGGCCCTGCACCGTCAAAGCCTGCACAAATCAGCGCAACGGAAGCCGAGGCCCACGAAGCTCCGGAACGATCCACGAACTCGCCCACACAGGCCGCGAAAGCACCTCCTGAGCCTTCTGCGCAAGCATCTACCACCATGGTGGACACCGCCAACCCTAAGCCAGCCGCCGCGTCCCCTGATGAAGGCGCCGCTGCTGTTGCGAAGCCCGTCGGAACGAGCATCGCGGGAACTCAGAGCAAGAAACCGATACCACCTCCTATCAAGACGTCGACTTCGTCAGCCGAGCAACCGAGCGCTATTCCCGCTGTCGTACTGACGCAAGATGCCCCGAGTACCCCAAAAGTGAGCCCACGGCAGAGGACTGTGACGGATGGCTCTTCGCTTGCGAGCCCTGCACCGTCTGTCTCTGCACTCCGACGTCGATCTGGGACCTTGTCAGCTTCCCGTAGCACGTCTCCCGCAGCCACCGACGATCGATCACAAAGCGTGTCACGACAAGAAGAGGCGTCTGGGAGCAAGGAAACGCGATCGGAGAGCGAAGCGACGAAAACGGAGGAGCGACACGAGTCCTCTCCGTCCAGGCCAACTCCTCAGCGGGCTGGTAGCAGTGTGCAGAAGAGAAAGAGAGCTGCGGAGGCTGTGGATACACCGGCAACGAGAGATGCTGAGCAGTCAGCGCGCAAACGCACTCGCGCGTCGACCAATCGACCGGTCGAAACGATTGCCGAGGATACTGTTGCTGAAGCGGAAGAACCGCCTACGCCCACTGTGGGTAGGCCGCGAAGAGGCGGCAGAACCGACTCGTCATCCAGAGATGTGGAAGGTGATCTCGAGAAAATTCAGTCTGTGACAAGCGCGAGCACTCCGGCTCCACCGTCAACCCCCGGGCCCTCCAAGCAGTTGAGGCGTAGCGGAAGGGCTTCTTTGGCTGGTGACGAGTCTGTGCCACCTACGCCAGTCAGCGCAGGACCCACGCGCAGCACACGGTCTCGCAAGGCAAGCCCGAGCGAGACTCGTGAGACCGTGACCAAAGTTGAGAGCGAAGACGAGCAGCAACGAGCTTCTGCGACTCGCGAAAGATCTCAGTCTACGATTGGTCTCGAGGAACACAAGGAGACAGAAGATGCAGCAACCCGCGCTTCCGTCAGTCTATCGCCCGTCTCTTCGAGGAGGCCGTCTAGAGGAGGTGGAAGAGGCAGAGCTTCGTCTGTCGCCTCGAGGGACAGTGGAAGAGAGAGATCGACTGGACCTGGTGCGAAGAAGGACGACAAGGAAAAGGCGAGGAGGAAAAAGGAAAAGATGCTGCTGATGCTTTTGGACGAGGTTTCGAACCATACGCACGGCAACCTGTTTCACAATCCCATCAAGGAGCAAGTGAGTCGGCTCGCGAGTCAGTCTTTGCTAGCTCGAAGAGGTCTTTGACGCTGGACGATCGGCCCAATGCAGGATGCGCCCGACTATTATCAGCTTGTGAGACATCCGCTGGACCTCAAGACGATCCGTTCCAAGGTCAAAGACGGTCAGATTGTCAACTCTGCACAGTTGAGGAGAGCCTTGAATCACATGTTTGCCAACAGTCTGATCTATAACAGGCCGGGCACAGAGGTGCATCGTATGGCCACGGAGATGCGCGATGCGGCAGAAGGCGTGAGTCTCTGGTTTGAGCTGTTTCGCTCAAGCATAGCGCCTCGGTACTCAGCAGTCCTCTCCTCGTGCACAGATGGTGGATCAGTTTGAGCAGACTCAGCAAATGTCTAGAAGGTAGACGTGGACCACGCTTCCCTCTGCATTACTTTCTCTGCACATGTATCATCACACATCGTGTCACTGATGACTTTCGATCAATGCTAAAGGGTGGTATACTATGAAACAAGATGAAGTAGCGTGAAAGTTAAGTTGCAAATGAAAAGCCATCGTCAGAGGGTGACTTGTTAGATGTGGCGTGAAAAGCTTGGCACACGGCCGACTTGGGGCCCGTGGAAATTGCAGCGCTCGTTTCGACGACTCATTAGGAGTCCAAAAGAAAGAGGAACGGAAAAGGGGTAACGCTTTCCTCTTATTCTCGAATCGCGGTCCATCTGCTCGCAGCAGCTCTAGCAGCCTCGCTGGGAGGTCTAAAGCTCCTATGTCTGTCCAGACCAGGCCTATTACCATCCTCTTGCATCTGCATTGCTGGCGAAGCGAGTCTCGTCGAGTTTCCCGACTCGGATCTTTGCCAGTTCGGTCTGGCTTGCGCAGCAGTTTGAGGGGCGCTAGCCGTGCTGCGAGCATCTTGGGCAGGATAAGAGCTCCTCCTCTGATCTGACAGCGCTACCTTTGCATCCGATGCATGTGGGGCATCTTGAGTCGACGCGCCCAGCTTGAAGGTTCTTCTTCGCCGAGGAGGCCCGGGTCTCTGCGCAGCAGCAGCAGCATCGTGCGAGTCCGACTGACTGTCGTACGAGCCCATCCTGGCCAATCTTTGAGATTGCACCTGCTGCATAGAAAGAGGTGCCGTCCCAGCATGAGCAGCGGAAGAAGCGCCCGTGACGGGCGTGCTGGATCCGCTGCCTCCCGGAGTGACGGGAGCGCTACGAACAGTAAAGCCTCGCGTGTCTAGTGTGCGCGTATAAGGGCTCAGCGTATGGTTGGAGGTGACCAGGTCGGCCAAGTGCCTAGACGCATCGATGGTCATTCTATGACCAGGCGGTCCCGCCGGGCTTCTCCGGCCGCCGGCTCCAGCTGCATTCAGCGAAGACACGCCTCTGATCGTGCTTCCGTGCGACACATCGCCTACGTGCTCGTTGGACATGTTACCCGTCGGATGAGTGCTTGTTGGAGCGGTGCTGAGCGAAGGCGCGACGCCCCACCCGCTTTGTGACACGTTGCTGGACCTGTTCCAAGCACTCGATCGGCTTCTCGAATCGCTCGTGCCAGAATAAGATCCAGAGACGCTAGCCGTCTCGGAACCGTAACCAGGTCTGTAGACTCCTCCTATCCGATGCCTGTACACATGCGATTTGTAAGTGTTGGAGCGCGGATCCATAGGCTCGGGCTCAAGCGTTGCCAAAGAGCCTTCTCCACCCGAAAGCGAATTGTTGGAAGCGGAGCGAGGCAAGTGTGCGCTGTCTTCCCTTTCGGACAACAGCTCCAACTCGGACTGTGCCTCTTGCCCTTGGCCTTCCGCTTTCAGATCATCGCCAACGTAGCTGTCAGATCCTACTTCGTCCTCAGCCCAGGGCGAAGTGGGTGGCATGCGAAGCCTAGACCTAGTCGAACCGAACCAATCCGCTTCGCGAGTCGGCTCAACAGCCGGACTGCCGATGTTGCTCCTGCTCGTCGCCCCTTTCAGGGTCCTGATGCTTCCCGCTCTGCCACCGCCACCGGCGCCTCCTTTGACAGTGCTGCTAGGCGCAGCACTGACAGTCTTGAGAGATCGTGCCCGGTCTGCAATCTGAGCCGCCAAACGTGCTTCTCTGTCCTCTGGATCCTCGTACGGATCTTCGTCCGACACTTCGGGAGGTTGGATTTGAGAAGCGCTATGAAACACACGCGGCTGCTGAGAGCTAATGGAAGCGTCGCCAAGCGTGAAATTGGAAGTTCTATTTGTTTTGGCTGAGCCCGACTCGCGAGGCGGTCGTCCGCGCATAGAGTGAGATCTGACCGAATTGCTACGCTTGCCACCCGCCGCCGAAGCCGGTCGCATGCTTCCGCGCAGCGTGCCCGAAGGTGAACTTGTTTGCAAAGCCCTCGCAAACAAAGAGGCAGGCCTTCTAGGTTTCGCGCTGTTCTCGAATGCGTTCTCCGATCTAGGTCGAGGGTACCCGAACCTTTCGGGATCCACGCCTCTAGCCTCTTCGATCGGATCTACCTCCGCCGAGCCTTCGCTCTCCGAATCCGGTCCATGTGGCATTTCATCCTCCGCTTCCAGAACGTCGTCCATATCTTCCAATTCGAGATTGTCCAGCTCCTGGATATCGCTAGCCGGCGACGAGCTTCCTTCCTGCGCCTCCTCCACCAAGTCATCTCGTCTTGATTCTTCCTCCGCCTCCTCTTCCAAGTCGTTGTGCGCCGCTCTAGCAAGCACGGAACTTGCATCGGGGCTGTAGCTATTGCCAGTCCACTCTAACCCCACCCCAGTGCTTCTCTGCGCTTTCAGTTCTCTTGCACCTGCACTCGAAGCATCACCAGCATCGGAGTTGGGTCCTCTCGCCAAATCTCTGAGTCCACCTTTCCCAAAATTGGCCAATCTAGCCAGACCCGAATAGGTGCTGCCCACCGGAGCTCTCAGAGCGTCAGGTCTGAGTCCATAAGTCGGGTCGTAAGCCATCTGACCTTCCTCCTCCAAACCATACATGCTTCCGGTCGATACTTTCGTTCGAGGACTGGCGTCCGCAGCTGTGACCGAATCAGTGCCAAAAGCGAAGCGCCAAGCGGGTTCGGATCCATCGCGCGTCAACTCTCCTCCAATGGGCGCTGCCGACGTCGAGGCTGCTTTCGCATTGTGTCCCCTCACCCCCCTGCGACCCGACGCTCTGGCCGACTTTGGAGGTGAAGTGCCAGCTGCAATCGTGGTTGCTGCATTCTGTGTAGACACTCTAGATCTGGACTCGCTTCGCTTCTTGCTGCTTGCGTTGGCGGGCAAAGCAGCACCCCGACGTGCCGGCGAAGAAGTCTCCCTGGCCAAGGCGTGGGGGTCCGAAGTGGAGCGCGGCACTGGCGCTTCTCTGACGTCTGCATCCACACGCTCCGAGTCGAGTGGGTTTCCTTGTTGCGCTTTGACAGTACTGAAGGTGGCGGGGCCCTGCGCAGTGGCTGTCGGAGCACTCGCACCACCCCCGCCACCATCCTCCTTTCCTACCTCTCCGCTGACCCTTTTGCTCTCGCCACTCAACCACTTCTGGCTCAAGCGGTGTATGATGCCCGGCAAATCCTCCCTGAACATTTCCCTCAATTGACCTTCGATTTCGCTTTGCAGATACTTCTGGATGACGGCGACGCTATCGAATGTGCTGCTGACATCGACGCTTTCTAGAGGATCGTTCTTGAAAACCAGCGTGATTCCCTTTTGCCTGCTGACTACGAGCACGACGATGGCTCGCAATCTCACTGCCGACAATCTGAGCTGCATAGGCACGATGAGAGGAGCAGCTGCAAAGAGGATGCCGCGATCCGATTCGGGAAATATGCCGAGCGAAGTGTCGGGTCGAGAGGAAGGGGCCAGAGGGTTGGCTTGCACCTTTGTGCTGAGCACCAAGTGCGCATCCCCAGCATACGTCAACCTGAAAATGCCTCGAAATCGATCCGTGCTGAGATCGCCAATCTCGAGGATTTCCAGCTCGGGCGGCTTGCGTGATGCGGGCGAGAGAGGGGGGGGG